TCTTTCTTTTTTTTGGATTTTTTTAAAAATTTCTTTTCAGTGTAACAGAATTCATTGTTTATGTACCATACCCAGTGATCCATGCAATACGTGCCCTCCATATTAATAAATACAGTGATCGCCTCGATATGCTCTAACAACAACTAACAGTACTGAACCTTTGCTGTAATGAGCCTTTTACATGTACTAACTCATTTGAGCCTCATAAACACAAGGCACCTGCTAGGATTATCCCCCTTTTTACACAAAGAAACAGGGGCACAAAGTGGGAAGGAGACACAGAGCTAATAAGAGGCAGAGCTGGAATGTACACCAAGGAGATCTGACTCTAGTTCCCATTCTTAAGCATGACGCACTTTTACCTCCTTTGCAAGCTGCCTCCCCCTGGCTGGTGAAGGGCAGGAGCCTGCCTCTCCCTCTCCCATGCAACTCTTCTTGAGCAGGGCAGCTGGGTTAGGCAGATGCAGCCACGGATCGCGCTGGTTGCCCTTGACCTGAGACGCAGGACCCCAGCACTGACTTCTGAGCTCCCACATCATTCCCCAAGTCACATCTGACCTTCCTGCATTGACCTCAATGGTCAATTTGCTCGTATGATCCTCTCCTCTGGTACACAGGCCCTGCCCCTAGCACCTGCCTCACCTTCAAATCAGCTTGGTCCTTTACTCCCAGTTGCCTTGGTGCCATTGCAAGGAGATCACCTTGCTTCTTGAAGACCTGCCCCAAGGCCCTGCAACACCTCTCCACATACCCACAGGGCTATCAAGAAAATCTGAACCAAACTATTTACCCAAACTGCAAAACTTAATGTACCAAATTTTCAATGCATGAGAAATTCCCCCCATAAATCTCAAAAACATTTACTTTGCTTACCAAAGTTAGCCATTATGATTATGCTTTCCCCCAAAGGCTAAACAAGGTACATTTCCCCCATCATCATCTAAAAAGTACGTATAATTTATTTATCATCGTTCCCAGTCACTTGGGTAATATTGCTTCACAGTTCACATTTCAGTTCAATGTTCAAGGATGAAACTGGGCATCTCCACAAGAACAAGAAGAATGGAGGACAGATGGAGAGCAAGGATTTAGAGTAACCAGTAGTGTTCCTTCATCATCCAACCGTCTTTTCACTTAAGAGATAGCTGATGAATGCCTGTCATGCGCAGGCATGATGATATTTTTGGTGAGGAGCCCACAGAACAGGGAAGCAGAGGGTGTAGCTAAATGCACCTCGAGGTGGTTTTCACGGAGCCCTGTAGGACAAGGGAAGAACCATCAGCTACACTGGGCAGCACAGGAAAACAGAGCTGATAATCATCGCAACCACCGTGACTGGCCCTGGATCCAGAGGCGTGCTGATATTATTGGGGCTTTGAATTTAAGGACAGGCTCAGGAACAAGCCCTCAAAGGGTATCTGTCACATAAGCCTGATGGTAGTTTCTGGCACATGGTTGGATTATTCCAAGTATTTAGCAATTCAATAATCTGATTCACCATACCTGTGACAAACCAGGGCTTGCTTTGCATGGATCACCAGAATGTGGCCTCCATGCCTTCATTTTTGATAGCTAACAGTTCATCCCGCATCATGCCAGCTCGCTCCTCTCAGCCCTTCACAAACCAAAGGAAATTACCTCAGTGAGCCAGACGGTGGCGAATGATGCTGAAGGCATTGCTGAACCCAAACTTGTGGCGAAATTACGAGTCCATAGTGTGCAATAAGTTCAGAACGATATTGTAGTGTTGTGTGTGTGCACCTCGAGTGCATCAAATTTGTTTTTTTATTTTAATTTCCATTTCTCAGACCTTTCTTTATACATCAACAAGAAACTGGTTTGTTTGGGTTTGGTTTTTGGGGTGGTTGGTTTTACAAACCTTCTGGCATTGGTTTGTTCATCAGAGAAAACAAAAACCTAATCATTCTTTCCGACTTCTTAGAGATGTCATGAGAATTATAACTTAATGCAAATATAAGTGCTTTATTAAGCATCATTATTTAAAAATCCCTTGCAGATGTTAGCATGTGGCTTGCTGAAATAGTACACTCTCCCAAGGCCTGCAGAACATAAACCACAAAGCCCTAAATCCTGTGGGTCTGTAACCCACACAAGCTCTTAGCATTAATAGAGCAAGACCCTAAGAACCAAAGAGAAGCTTCCAGACACTAATGTGGGTCTGGAATCCCACACTGAGTGAAGTCATCCCTTTTTCTGCCCAGCTTCTCTGTTTCTAAGGGGCCGGTGAGTTCCTGCTTACTGGAAATAAGGTGGGAAACAAGGCTTATTGATTTTCACCCTGCTCAAGAATCCCAGTGTGTGGACACCAGCAGCTGTGTGATGTTTCACCAAAGCCCAGCCCCGTGGAACTCTCTATTCGAGTGGAACAGGTCCCTCCTATAGAAGGGACCACAATTCCTCTAGCTTCCATCAGCAAAATGCATGAAACACATCATGGCCATTGAAAGGCTTATGGGGAGAACCTTCTGTTTTTCTTTAGTGGTGTTTATTTTAAACCTAATCCCATGCTAAGCCTATAATATGTATGGAACCTATTTGATTGCCTAAACAATAGAATAATCTCTGCCTATACATATTTTTCAAAATCTTAGAATAGTCATTTTTTATTTTTTTTATATTTTATTTATTTATTTGACAGACAGAGATCACAAGTAGGCAGAGAGGCAAGCAGAGAGAGAAGGGGAAGCAGGCTCCCTGCGAGCAGAGAGCCCGATGTGGGACTCAATCCCAGGACCCTGAGATCATGACCTGAACCGAAGGCAGAGGCTTTAACCCACTGAGCCACCCAGGTGCCCCAGAATAGTCATTTTTTAAATGGCTGGTAGTTTCGTTCACTTGGGTTTGTTTTTATTACTATGGCATTGGGACCACACTGATCATGTGTCCTTTCTGTACCAAACAAAACTTATAAATTCCAATTCCCAGAAGGAAAAACACTCTTGAAACAGGAATGATTATATTCATCATCTCTTCATTCCGTTCAGAGACTTACAGGCCTGCAGTAGATTATAGAAAAAGGAGCTGTCTCCCTCAATCACAGGGGCTCCTTCAACATCTTAGGAACCCAGCCTAAAGAAAAATGTCCATACAGGCGAAGGTTTATTATCCTGGAAATTCTCGAACGAAGAAGAGCTGCTTTTCGTTTCCTTGGCTGCCACCTAGTGGGTAATGATGTCATGTCACTAAAACACATGACATCTGTGAAGACAGAAGATGTCTGCCTGCCTGTCTTTAAAACAAACCCCCCAAACACAATAATTAAAGAAATATCATTGCAGACATTAGGCAATTATCCTTTCTCAGAATTTCTATTTAGATCCAATGTGTTATTCTCCTTCCTTTTTCCATGGGAAGGCAACCGATTGAATGATCATTGATTTGGCACTAATATTGTGCACTAGGATTAACGCTGTAAAGGAAGCCGTAAGGCAGATCCAACCACAGACTGGGAACTAAAAGGTAAAGTTTCAGGGCTCTCCATTGAAACCAAGAACCTCAGCTAACTTGAGCTTAGACCAGTGATAACCCAACGAATAGCTGTTTCTTTGGCACACCTGCTTCTTGTCGCAGTAACCAAAACCGATATTGAGACTGTGCCGTTTTAGATTTATCTCTACTAAGTTTGTTCTATGAGCATTTTTAATGGGGTCTCTAATTCCTGGAGAACATTATGTAACAGGTCAGCTGTTTAGTAGCATCTCCGTCTTTCCAAATTACAATCAGATTCCAGACTAAGATACATCAGTTTCAGATTCTCAAAAAGAGAAAATTTTACCTCAGGGAGGTAAAAAAACAAAAACAAAAACAAAGCCACCCAGTAGAAATACAAGGAGTCTAAAAAAAACAACCCCATAAGCCTCTGCCTTTTATATCTCTTTCTGGGCTTTGCAGGTTAAACATACACACACACACATGCAGCTGAAATGTAGACCAGTCTTTCCCAATGGTCTCTCAACCAAAGCCTGGTCATCTACATGTGATTGCAGATAATTACTAGTGCAGATTGCAGATTGCACTATTAATTATATTTGACGCCCCAAGTTAAGAAGAATATTCTAGCAGACATCCACCCTTCCTTGTTCTACATGACCATGGGGCTTGAAGAAGGGACAACGGCTCTCATTTAAGGCAGTCGAAGGTAGTGGTTCCGAATGTGGGTCATGGTACAAGACTGCATGGGTTCAAATCCTGGCTTTGCTGGTTGTGATCATGACCTCAGGAGACTTACCAGACTTTCCTGTGCCCTGGTTTCCTGAAACATAAAATGAAGATGGCTCCTCTGTAGGGTCATGGTAAGGATTAGAAGAGTTCTTACAAAAAATATGCCTGGAAGGATACCTGGAATGCAGACAGGGCTTAATAATGGGGAGCGCCTATTAATGCGTCCAGATGTTTCCAAATAATTTGCAAAGGAGTGTGGATGGTTCCCCTGACTGGGAGTTCTGAAACCTCCAAAGATGGAGGATGTCGAAGGTCAGGTCTCAAAGTACAGATAGTGAGACACCTGCCATCAAGGCCACCGCTCTGTACAAACTCAACTAACTCTAACATGCTCATGCCTAAACAGTTGATGAGTGTTCATTTATGATATCTCTGTGAGTTCATTTCAACCTGGTAACAAAGCTGAAGTCCCAAGGATGCATGTAATGTAGCATTTCTATCTCTGTTGAGGCAGGAGAGGAGAGCCTTTAAGAGCTTATGAAACAATGTGCCTCCAGTGGGGGTTGATTCTGCCTGTTATACAAACCCCACAAGTCATCTTGTCAGAGTTAAGTTGTACTAAAATGTAAGCCCTTCTCTCCCCCCAGGTGTTCCCTGATTCCGATTTTGCTCCCTGAAAAGCTCAGGTCTGAGCCTGAGCCCAAGAAGTCTGATGGTATCCATTCATGGAATGGAAATGATGCTGTCTCAAAAAAGAAAATGGGGGAGGATAGAAAAACCTTCTCATGACTCAGTTTCTTTTTTGGTATTATTTAAAGACATGCAAAGCCTTGAGAAGCTCCTGAGAGATGCTGTAATCTACGGCCAGCCTCGAATCCGCAGAGCCTGGAAGAAGATTCTCATCCTAGTGGAGGGCATCTACAGGTATGGAAATAACCAGAGACATTTTTAGGCACTGGGGCCCACAGCGAGCTGACAACTGAGGAAAGTCTGACCTCTCCTAGCTCCATAGAAAAATGAGTTGGATGTAAGGTATTATGAAGGGACTGAAGCCAGAGCTATTAATGTGAGCTGTCAGGCCTTGGGTCACCTGGCTTTTCAATGTCTCTGCATATGACAGAATACTTCAGAGGCTGGATTCTTGTGAAGGTGTCCTCAGAAATGTCCTCCCAGGGCACCGATAACTTGCATTGATTCTCTCCACTACCGTTGGCTGCCCCACAGTTTCAAAGGCTTAGGGGGGCTGGGTTACTCAACATCAGAACGCTTCTTGCCTGGGGCGTGTGAGTTGCTCAGTTGGTTAAGCATCAGATTCTTGATTTCTGCTCAGGTCATGATCTCAGGGTCACAATATGGAGCCCTGAATTGGGCTCCACACTGAGCAAGGAGCCTGCTTAAGATTCTCTACTTTCCCTCTCTCTTTGTCCCTTCCCAGCCTCCCACTCGCAAGCTCTTTCTCTCCAAAAAAAAAAAAAAAGAGAGAGAGAGAGAGAGAGAGAGAAAGAAGACAGAGAGAGAGAAAAGGAATGCTTCTTGCCTTAATGGCATTGCTGGTAGGCACCCAGATGCTTCTAATTGGAGAGTGCACCCAAACACAAGTTGCCTGCTGAACTGGGCCAGTTGTTGGCATTAGAATACAAAAAGCCAGCACTTTTCCACAAGGTTAAGACTAATCTCAAAGACAATTCTTGATCCAGAGCTGGGAGCAGCTGGACTTAGCATCTGAAGGTGTGCTCAGTTTCCCACCACTTTGAAGCCATGCAGGCAAAACGCCCACTAAGCCACTGAGAGCTTGTACAAGGCAGTTGTGATGGAATTGGTTTCATTCTCTGTCTGAATTGGTTATCACTACTGAAATGGAAATTGCCTCCAGGCCATTCTTCTGTCGAATGCCCTTGTCCCTGAGTCAAAGAAACATCATCTCAGAGTGCTCCCTCCTTAAATCAGTTCTCAAACAATCTTCATGTTCAAAGAATTGAGGGAGTTGTTTCTTATAATTATGGAAAAGCGAACAATATTAGATGGAAGGGAATGAGAGCTTAACTTCCCTACAAGGAGAGGTGTGCTCGCAAAGAAGACTTAGATCTGATGGGACTTTCCACTCAGCCAGAGTGTGCATCATTTCCATTCCATGAATGGATAACAAGCAGCAGAAGAAACGTGTCTCCACTCTTCTTGGGAAAAAGAAGTGCGTTCTCCTCGATTTAAAGTAATAATAATAATAGTAACTGTAATAGTAATAATAAGGAGCCAGGTACCATCTTGGTTTTTTCCCTCAGCCTCACTGTCCCAGCGCCTGGTGTTCTGGATGTCCCTAGTGTTACTGTAGAGTTGCAAAGATGGCATTGCAAGTTTCCAGCAGCCTACGTTATGTATCCCCATCAATAACTCCTCGGGTCAGCCCCCAGATGATACCCTATTTATAAAGTCTTTGGGGTCACCCTGGAGGAGCATTCTCAATCAAGGTGATTCCCTTCCACAACCCGCCCCTATCTTGGAGAATTTGGACAATTTTCAGTTGGCACAACAGCCACAGAGTACTATTGGCTTCTAGTGGGCAGAGGCCAGGGATACCGCTAAGCATCCTGCAATGCACGGGACAGGCCCCCACCACAGAGAATCAACCTGCTCAAAGTGTCAACAGTGCCAAGACTGAAAGACCCTACTGTAGAGTCATTCAATTAATAATTCAATTTTATGAATAGTTTACTCACTAGCCTTGAACTTGCTACTTTTCAGAAATAATCTTATTGACTCTGGGCTGTTATAACCTCAAGCCCAGATCTTTCTCCCTGTGTGATCTGTGCCAGCTGCCAGTCTGGGAAGAGAGCCTTTATCTAAACACATGTCATTCAGGCCTGAACTTGTGGGAGCATGGATCAGCTGAGGGAGAGCAGACTGGGCATCTCCTTTAACCAGAATTGACAGAATCCAACTGCAAGTAAACAGAACTTGGTTCCAGTAAAGGAAAGTTGTGTTTGAAGCACTTTGATTGTAGCTGAAATTAAGTGGACCGGACCACCAGCATTTTACTGTCAACCAGTCCCATCAGTTACACAGAGAACTCACTCCAGCAGCTGGGCTTGTTCATGGCTGGGCCTGTGTCCTACCACCATGATCTCAGGAGGACAGCAGAGACAGGTGTGGACTTCTGGCTCCAAGCCGACATGGCACCAAACCACAATCTGGGCTTCACTTAGCAATGGGTCCTGCCCTGTTACCTGATACCGTGTTACAAACCACCCAGACCATAATGGCTTACACAGCAATGAGTTATTATTTCCCACACCACAATGGGTTGCCTGGACCCACTGGGCCGTTCTTCTGCTCCACATGGTGTTGGCTGGGGTCATTCATGGGGTTGCATTCAGCTGGGAGTCCAGCTGGGATCTGGAACATCCAAAATGACCTCACTCAATACTAGCTATTGGCCAAAGTACATTGTTCCCTTCTCTTCTCTGAGGTGCTTGGTCTATAGGCTCTTCTTACTCAGCAATCAAGCCAGAACTTCCTTAAAACATAGTGCTGTCTTCTGAGAGAATGAAAGGAAAAGCTGCCAGTCCTTTAAGGGCAAGACCCAGAACTGGGATAGCATCATTTCTGCCATGCTCTATTGGTCACAGTATGGCCAAAGGTCAGCCCAGATTTAAGGGAAAGGAAGATAGAACCCACCTTTTGATGGGAGGATTGGCTTGTGTGTAGAAGTTTGGGAAGACTTGCAGGCAGCCATATCTGGAGGCAATCTACCACAGTGGTTGAATCAGTGTGGCATTTATTTGTATGAGGAAACCTCCACTTTCCTTGGATTTCCTTCATAGAGAGCTTCCTTTTATCTCATCTGACGGAATCTTGTCTTTATGCGAAAGTGAAACTGTGACCTCCAAAGGCCCATACATAGCTAGGAAACAGGGCACCTCTAAAAAAAGGCTCGGTACTTCCTGGGGCCTCAGTTTCCTCATCTGCAGAATAAGGCTAACCAAGACTGGAGTTCTGGAACATAGTGGATGTTCTCATTTGTTGCTGTCACCAAAAAATGAAATTATTTCCCACAAAATTTTCTAAAAGGCCAGGGTTAATAATGTGAAATCAACAGTTCACAAATGCACTTCTACTTGTTAACAAAGTGCTACGGACACATACCCTGTTAACATCAACACAAAGCCTCCTTTGAATTTTCACTCCTGTATTTTTTTTTTTTAATCTATTGCTGTGGTTTGCCACCATGGGGCAAAGTTCCCCCTACCCCCCACCACAAATGCCTCATATAAATCAATTTTTCATAATTCCTAAAAAAAAAAGAGTCAGCCAAATCAGACAGTTTCAGGCAGGTATCAAGGTAGAAAAAGCAGATACCAAGTCTAAGAAATCCATCAATTCCACAAAAGCAGTTATGATAATGATAATTATACTAACAATAATAACAATAATAGTGTCACCATCCATAAACCATCTAAGTCTCATTATATAGAGAGAGAATATGGAGGATCCTGGATCTGGAGAGAGGCCTGGGATCAGGGTTCAAATCCCAGTGTTGTCACCTATGGTTCTGTGCCCTTCATAGGGTTCTATTGTAAGTATTAAATAAGATCATAGAACCTCATTCTTGGCAGAAGCCCAGTCTGTGGGAAGCCCACAACCAAGGGCAGCTGTCTGGATCATTAAATTTCTTTTCAGTGGAGGAGGTTGCAACATGGAAAACAGTAAGCTCTCTGCATAGTGAAGCTGTTTTCTCCACCCAGCTGAAGGATGGATGTCAGGGGAAGGAGCTTGCATTTACTCTGTGTCTGCTCCTTGCTTCACATGTGTGATCTTGAGGAAACCTCCACATTCTCTTTGAGGTTACTGTGAAAAGGAAGACACTTAACCCAGGACAGATAACTGAGATGAAATAGAGCCAAGATTCAAACCAGGGAGCCCCACTGGAACAGAGGTCCAGTATCAACAGAAGACTCCACCCACGTGCCCCCATCCCATGAAAAAAACATGGAAACTGTAAAAGTCCTCCGTGTGGCCTTCACCATTTACCTACACAGGGCTCAGTTTCTTCATCTGTAAAATAGGGAGAGTGAAACTTGAGATCTAAAGTTCCGTGAGTTCATGGTTTTGGGCTTAAAATTACAATCATACTATTATAGTGTTCTCATCTGCATTTTCTTTTAAGTATTACTTTAAAGTCAGACTCTTCTAGTTTTGTGTCTCTGAAAAGTCTAGTTGGTGGATTCATGATGGTCAAGAAGTCTTGAAATTATTCAAAAATATACTAGAGAAGGGCAGGGGGTCCCAAATAGCCTGGGAGATGAAAGCAGCATGACTAGAGCTCAAACGTTCAAAATAGAAAGTATTGAGAAATAGTGACCAGCCCTTCCAGGAAACACATACGTAAATAAATCTTTAAATCTCAGAATGCCACTCTCTCTAAGGGTGTAAGCCCTTCTCCCAAAAATAGTGTAAGTTTAAGGATTGAGAACTTTAACCTATGATTTAAATACATACAGGAAAAAAGGAAAAGAAAGTACTTTAATTAGTCTTAGCTCTCTTCTTTTTCTCTTTTTACCCTTCTTTATTCCCTGGATTATACTTGGGGCCCACCAAGGAGATTTTTTCCACCATGTAAGTTGGCAGACCAGTGGTTTAATTCCAATCCTGCCAATGAATAATATGCTTTCTATGTGGAGGGGAAGGTGGTGAGAGGGAAATTTCAAAAAAGAGTCTTGCCACTTAGCTAATACATTATGTAACAGAAACGATATAAAGAAATTATTCATCAGCTTGTGCTTCAAGACTAATTCAAATCCTTGCACAGAGCTTCAAATTAAGTGATGGAATTATCTCTACCTACGGTTGTATTTTAGTTGTTTTTCTTTCATTGAAGTCAAAAGAAAACACAACTTGCCATTCAGGAAGAAAAAAATAAAACACCATCTTGTTTTCTTTTTCATTTCTGGCACTGTGTTTTCTGACAGCAATTTACAGGAATAACATAGAAATCCCTTTTCTATGCATGCACCAATCTCAATATCCCACTGTAGGAAAGGGTTCGATTCAAATTTATTCACATTAAGAAAATGAAAACTTAGTGCAGGTGAATATAACTCTTTATAAAAGTTGAGTTTCCCCAGGACTCATGCGTGCCCTGTAGTAACTCCAGAAATCAACAGTACTGTAGAGTCATTAATCTTAGAGGAAGAAATATAAACCAGGTGGGCAGACTCCTAACATCAGCTAGACCGGCCCCGGCAAAAGATGGCTAATTAGCTGCCTTGAGTGTCTGCAAACTGTTCAGCATTAACTCTGGCTCCTGCCAAATTCAGTTCCAGAACAAAGCATGGTTATTTGTGACATGTCAGGTTTTCAGCATAGTTGTGTTACCAACTTATAACATGTTAAAGATGAGAAGTAGATCCTAGAATTTTGAGGGCATATAGCCATTTATTATGTATGACACCCATATGCCTCTTTCCTGGAAGATTCAACACAGAGCATTGTTAAGGGCTCCCCATTTCTCAAGTCAGGCCTCACTCCAAACATTTCCTCCTACATTCCTCCTAAGAAAAAGAACAACCCAGTGAGTGCTTGTTATGCACCAGACCCTTTACAAACATTATTTCTAGAAAGACCTTATGAGGAGGGTTTCATCATCATGCTTTCTTTACATCTGAGAAAGTGGAGGCAGAGAACATCGTGTAAGTTGCCCAAGCCCTCAGTTGGTAAGTGGTGTGGCTACACTCTAAGCCCAGTCAGATGGCTGTACCTTCTCCCCTCATTGGAAACCATGTTAACAAACAATTAATCTAAGAAAATACTGGAATTAACTCAGAAACTTATATAAGAGAAGATGAGTGTCTTTGGTTTCCATTTCATTAAAATCTGAAACCAACCATTCAGAATGACTTTGTGAGAAACACAAAGGCAATAAGCTGGACTTCATTAAAATTAAGAACTTGGGCTTTGCGGAAGACCATGCCAAGCGAATAAGAAGACAAGCCACAGACTGGGAGAAAACATCCGCAAAAGATACATTGATAAAGGACTGTGATCTAAAATGTACAAAGAACTCTTAAAACTCAACAGTAAGATAGCTAACAATCTGATCGAAAAGACCTTAGCAGACACCCCACCAAAGAAGGTATGTAAATGGAAATACACATAGAGAAAGATGTTTCACATCATATGTCATGGGGGAAATGTAAATTAAAGCAATAAGATACCACCACACGCCAGTTAGGATGCCAAAATCTGGAAGACTGGAGAGGATATGCAGAAACAGAAAGATTCATTTATTGGTGGTGGGAATGCAAAATGACACAATCACTTTGGAGGAAAGTTTGGTGGTTTCTTACCAAGCTAAACATACTCTTACCATACAACCCAGCAAGCATGTTCCTTGGTATTTCCCCAAACGGTGAAAACTTGTGTCCACACAACACCCTGCACATGGCTGTTTATAGTATCTTCATTCATAATTGCCAAACCTTGGAAGCAGCCAAAGTATCCTTCAGTCAGTGAATGACTAAGTAAACTGTGGGGCATCCAGACGATGGAACACTATTCAGTACTAAAAAGAAATGAGCTCTCAAGCCATGAAAAGACACGGAAGAAACCTAAATGCATATTATTAAGTGAAAGAAGGCAATCCCAAAAGGCTATACAGTGCATAATTCCAACTACATGGCATTCTGGAAAAGACAAAACTATGGAGACCATGAAAAGATCAGTAGTTGCCAGGGGTTAGGTGGGGGGAGGAATGAACAATGGATTTGTAGGGCAGTAGAAATAGTCTGTAGGGTATCATAAGGATGGCTACATGTTGTCATACATTTGTCCAAGCTTATAGAATGCACAACACCAAGAGGCAGCCCTCATGGTAACTATGGACTTTGGGTGACAATGATGTGTTGGTATAGGTGCATTTGTAACAAATGGACTGCCCTTGGGGATGTTGGTAATAGGGGTGATGATGTGTATGTGTATGTGGGGCAGGGAGTATATGGGAAATCTTTACCTTCTGCTCAGCTTTGCAGTGACCTTAAAACTGCTCTCAAGAACAAAGTCCTTTTTTTTTTTTTTTAAATAAAGTCCTTTAAAGAAGCCAAAAATACAAATGCTCACTTGGTGGCTGGCTAGTCTGTTCCCTCCAAACCAACACCTCTTGGCCTGGGTCACCACACAACCAGCCGGACTGTTTTGACTGGATTGACATAAGACTTAAGTTTATTTTTATAATGCTTTAAATTTAATAAATAAATTAATTAGGAAGAAGGGAGAAGTTCAAAGTTCAATTGATTAGTTCTTGAACTAAACTGCTTGAGCTGTCTGACAAGCTCCTTTGCATGGTGAGGGTGAGAGTCTGTGTGTTTTCATAGAATTCGCCTGTCAGGGAAGTCCAAACTGTGTGTGGTGTAGACACAGCCCACAAAGTGTTGTGAGAACTGATGAAAGCCGAAAGTCCTTTTAAATCCATCGAGTTCCAAAGGTGCCATGTAAATGTGAGTTTTACTATTTATTTCCTTCATATTTTTCCCTTTTCTGGAGGACTTGAAGTGTTTTTGCAATTTACAATACCATGAAAAATTAAGCACTTAGGGCTAAAACAAAAAGGTTCCTCTATGGCAGTGGTTCTCAAAGTGTTCTCCCCAGCCAACAGTAGGATGTCTCCTAGGAGCTTGGTAGAAATACAAGTTCGTAGCCCCCCACCCCCCCCCAAGCCCAGACCTTCCAAATCAAAAACTCAGGAGCAGGGTAGAGGGGGAGCAGTAATCTGTGTTTTAACAAACTGTCCAGGGGATTCTGATGCTCACCCAAGAATGAGAACAATTTCCCCTAAATGAACAGAAAGAGGGGACATTACCAGATGTCTCAAAATAGCCGTTGACTTCCAATGAGCAGTGAACAAGACATCCTAAGAACTTTCTCTTGTGCGTTCACTGATACTATGTATCTTAAGCAAAGTTCTTTTGTGTATTTTTAGTTCTTACCTTTAATCTTTGGCAATTCAAGCATGAGTCTATGTCAGATAGAACTGGTCAAACAGACAGCAGCAGGCTGACAAAGACAGATTACCTTAGAGCAATTTCATTAAAACTAGCAAAATACCTAGATTCCAAAATGGTCAGTCTAGTTACACTAGTTGACTTTACAAATAAATTGATCAACAACACAGTAAGGTCATTGTTCATTTGGGAATTAGCTATAACAACTTGGAGCACGTTAATCCATCGAACGTAATTTTTTTTTCCAAGTAAAATAATGCCAGATCAGCTTTACAAGATTGAGAGGGTTGTCTTAACCAACTAAGTTATGCCTTAGGAAGAAAGGAATCGTGTGTCCTTGTCACCACTGACTGGTGTCAGGACAGGTTGTCTGAGAAGGATTGGAAGGAAGACCATCACAGGGCTTCCCAGGAAAGTGTACACAAGTGACAAGCATTTCTCCTTCTGCCCTAGCATGGAAGGTTCCATCGTGCATCTGCCTCAGATCGTGGCTCTAAAGAAGAAATATAAGGCTTACCTCTACATAGACGAAGCTCACAGTATTGGGTCCGTGGGCCCAACTGGCCGGGGTGTTGTAGAATTCTTTGGACTGGACCCTCGAGATGTTGATGTGCTTATGGGCACATTCACCAAAAGCTTTGGAGCCTCAGGAGGTTACATAGCTGGAAGGAAGGTAAGCCAGGGATCCCTGTGTCTATTTAAAATCTGAAAGCTCTGGGGCACCTGGGTGGCTCAGTGGGTTAAAGCCTCTGCCTTCGGCTCAGGTCATGATCCCAGGGTCCTGGGATCGAGTTCCACATCGGGCTCTCTGCTCAACAGGCAGTCTGCTTCTCCGTCTCTCTCTGCCTGCCTCTCTGCCTACTTGTGATCTCTGTCTGTCAAGTAAATAAATAAAAATCTTTTAAAAAAATGAATAAAATAAAATCTGAAAGCTCTGGGGACATAGTCTGTGGGCTTCTGTGGATACCCTGAGAGCTTCAGCTCAGTTCAGCACACCTCAGTAGATCATGGCAGCCTGGATACAGTGGGTCCAAGGCCAAATGGGCCTGGAATGGCAAAGAACTCACCCTGTAATGGTGAAGGGAAGCATGTGATACGTAATCACGTTATAATAAAATGACAACACCAGCAGTGTACCTAGGCAAAGACTTGATACAAGGAGAGAGATAGTTAACTCTGCGGGTAGTAGCTGAGGAGTCTTAGAATAAATATCATTCTCAAAGGCAGAAGATGGGGGGAGGGTATATTTTAAAAAAGAGGTAATAATGTATACCAAACCACAGAAATGATAAGGGAAGGTTACAGAGCTGTCGGTAGTTTGGTTTTGGGGGCATGAAAAACATAAAGTAGATAACAGCAACAGTGGGCAAAAAACAAGGTTGACTCTGCTACAAGTTCTGGGTTTTAAGAGTTTTCATCAAAATCGTGGCAAGATCAGAAACACCCTTCTAAGAGTTTTTCTGTGCAAAATAATTCTCTCCCACACGTTGGATAAGCCATAGGTCAAATTGGGTCACCCTCTAATACCTTTTTTTAAGGTTTTTTCCTTCCTTCCTTCCCTCCTTCCTTCCTTCCCTCCTTCCTTCCTTCCTTCCTTCCTTCCTTCCTTCCTTCCTTCCTTCCTTCTTTTCCTTCCTTCTTTCTTTCTCTTTCTCTTCCTTTAAGTAATCTCAACCCCCCAGTGTAGGGCTCAAACTCATGACCCCTGAGATCAAGAATCGCATGCTAGGCCAACCGAGCCAGCCAGATGCCCCTCTCATATCTCATCTATAGGACTTAAAATTCTGATCTGATGGGATCAGACTATTGAGTGTTGTCCCAGTCATTTTGAGCCAATATCATCAAAGGGGTTGCCCATATAAACCAATAAATGTTTAAAAAAAAAACTAAAGAAAGAAGGGAAGAGCCAGGGAGAAAAAGAAAATGAAAAATTCAAAGCTGGCTTTGAGGGATAAAGAAGCCAGTGGTCTGCCCTATATCCAAATCCTAAAGCTATCTCACACAGACCTACACCTGTCCCAGAGTGACTTGTGAGAGTGACGTTGGTTCCACCAAGGAGACACACCAGACCCAAACCCACAGCATGCAGGTGGCATCACAACTTATCCAAAATTCCCAATTCCTTACTCATTGTTACCAGCAGGAACAAGAGTTCAGACTCCTGATAAACCAGTTAGACAAATCAGGCACTGCAGCAGGAGACAGTCTGGCCAATTGAAATCCTATGATTTAAAACAACAGATTTCACTGTGACCATGAGAGGCACAACTGCTTCAAATGTTCAGGGTTTACAGTGGTCTTGACCCTTCAACAAGCATTACTTTCTTCTGAGCTCAAAGGACTGTTTTCCATCCTCCCTCCACTGGCCTGTGGGAATTAGCTGTGTAATGCTAAAATCATCGGGAATGCTTAGGATCCTACAAAATTTAGCTGAATCTGGTGAAAGGTTAAATGTTCCTTCCTCAACAGTGGAAGCAGAGGGATCAGAGGTTCTCAAATATAGGAGGTCCCTTATCCGGGCTACATGGCTTTGTGAGCTTGTGGTTTTGTGATTACTTTAGCAGCAGTTCTGAACTACAAAATTTTTAACCAGGCGTAACTCTGTTTCCTGAACCAAGGGCACCTGAATAAACTAAAGTGAGCGGATCCTTGAAATGTTGTCAAATTTGGTACATGTCACATTTTCCCCTTGGAGTTCCTTCGTCGTATATCCACTTTAAACAAAGGCTCATGACTGGTCTGAAGTTAGGACCAGCTCACTCTGGCTCTCTCTTCCTATCCATCCTCAAGCCACTAGGACTGTTTTAAAAGTGTATTTATTTTTGTCTATGTAACTTGTATTCATTTGGGGTAGATACTGGGCAATCGTGGAAAATCATTACTCACATTAATCGCAATGCAGAAAAATGTGTAGATCTGTTCATTTCCTTGCTCTTTAAAATATTCATTCTCTACATGCTTGGATGCAAAGAACTTCATCATCCCTAAGCCGCCTCCTCCAGTTGGCTTCCAGGAGCCTTTGTCTTCTCTTCCCCCTCCACACTACACTGCAGTCTCTAAATTTACCACTAGATGGCAGCAAGAATTAGAGTCTTTGGCAGAGGTCCATTAACCAAAGAGAGCCTTAGTTAGCTTCCCTCAAACGGCAAGATAGGTACAAAACCTGGAAAACATAGGGCAGTTTCAAGACATGGAGGATGAGCCAGAGACTGGAGGCCACTTGGGAAAGTGTTTATATGCGTCGTTCCCTGATTTGAAAATCAGTCAAATGCACACCTATCAGGAATGGTTTTGATGAGTAACTGGTTTCCATCTGATTTGATAAGCCCAAGACTTAATGGAATTTTTGCATCTGCTCATCTGTACCTTTACCTTTTAAAGTTATGTTAATTTTAAATTATGTGTAGTTTCCATTTAAGTCATAGTTTTTATTCCCCTGGATTTTGAATTATTTTTGCAAAAAAATTTTGACTTTGCGTTTGTTTTAAACTATGCTTTTTAACTGAAAGGACAGGATTGGACAAATGCTAACAGTTTTAATTTGAAAGAAACCTTTCTACTTGGTTATTTAAATATTTAGAGTACAGTTTTTATAGCATTTTATCATATTTTTTCTTGGATATTTTAGAATGTATATCTCAATTTGTGTGATGGGTGGGGGGCGCGAGTAACTGCAAAATATCCAGGATTCTAACCAATGGGTACAAAAGCAACAAAATGAACCATAAAAATGTAAAAGCACACACACTGGGACTTTACATTTTCCTGAAACCCTAATAATTTCAATTTCACTATGTTCATGAGGATCTTAGTAAATCTTGAAATTTGAAAATAGTTACTTGGGTCCAAAGATCTAGAAAAAGATAAAACAGTCTGGCTCTCTTTTTTTTTTTTTTTTTTTTTTTAAGATTTTTTTTTTTTTTTTTTATTTGACAGAGAGAGAGATATCACAAGTAGGCAGAGAGGCAGGCAGAGAGAGGAGGAAGCAGGCTCACTGCCGAGCAGAGAGCCCAATGCGGGGCTCGATCCCAGGTCCCTGAGATCATGACCTGAGCTGAAGGCAGAGGCTTAACCCACTGAGCCACCCAGGTGCCCCTGGCTCTCTTTTTATATGTTAATGTTAGCATTAGTAGTAGAGGAACTATATTCCTAATAACAGTTTCTAGGAGGCTCTAGAAGTCTTCTGGAGTTAGTCAAGGTCAGGAATGTGTATATTAACAACCAGATATGTCACAAAAGGAGAAGTGTTCAGAAACAAACAAGGGGAGAAAACGTTGATTTGCTAAGATAGTATCTCAGAGAGTAGAGATTTTGTCTTGACCTTGGGCTGCCTGTCACAGAATGTCCAACAAAGTCATTTCTGCTTGTTGGAATTTATTGCCCTGGCCTTGCCCTTCTCTCCCCACCTTAGGGAAACCGGCAAAACGGTCTCTCCAGAGCCAGCAAGATTTTGCAATTTTGTTCCCTTTGAGTTTGGAGCTACTGTAGATGATCTGAGAACAACCCAACTTGGAACGCTCTGTCCTTTCAAGACCTCTGAGGTCATTACTTCTCTCTACCTGACAAGAGCTCCATGCCGTGAATGTCTTCTTTGGAGGAAACCTGAACTGATGAAGCTAGATTTATGTTTATTTTATACCTTATGCCAGTCCAGTGGCAGAGAAGGTATTTTCTAAAGACGCTGCTTTGCGGAGACCAAATGTTTCTCAGGCATGTGTCCTAAGTCCCTTTGTATGCCTGCTGCTAACCACTGGCTTTCATAGTCTCCCCAGTCTGAGCAGAGACCTGCAAATGAGTGGAGCAAAGGTAGCCTTCATGACTGATAGGCCACGGGGCTGGAATGCTGGAGGAGGGAAGTCAGACAGGGCAGCCAAGTTTGGGGTGAGCATCAGCCCCAGAAGCCTGGGCGCCAGACAAAGTCAGGCCCCTCGCAGGAGCCAGCCTCAGCCCCTGCTGCGTTTAACAGCTCTTTGAAGTAAATGGGGGTCATGGTATGAACACCAAGATGTTTATTCTAAGAGCCTCCTGTCCGATTTCCTCAGCAAACCACACTTGCCCTTGAACTCCAGGCCTGTGGGTAGAGAAAATAATCAGGGTTTTGAACTTACAAATGGACTTGGAAACCTCAGTAGGAGGAGACCTCTAACCCACTCTGAAGGAAGACATAACCCAGACTTGCCTCGAAGAGACCAAAGCCAACTCTTAATTCAAGGCTCCCGGTGCCCAGTGGCGGAATGCGAGAAGGGAATCAGGAACGGGGCTCTGCAGAAGTTACCTAAGGAGCCCCACCTTTGGAAGCATGCAAAAAAATTAACCCCGTCCACAAACAGACCCTCAGAGGAAGGGGACCCAGTCTAAAAGAGATACGACTGTGGGCAAGAGAGTCTTAATGTTAAAAGGGAAGGATAACTGCCCTGATGAGGCATTTATTCAAACTAAGGATGCACGTGACCTTGGCTTTATGAAATTTCCCAATTTGGAAAGGAAGATTACGGGTTGGGGACATTGAGAAGAGCCCTTGAGGAGCCCAAGGAAGCTTTGTTTTGTTTCTTTGTCTGATCTTTGCCAGTGATGCCCCAAGACTCTTTCTGTCCTTGTTCCTAAGAATGCAGCTTAGCAGTTCTCTATATACTTTGGGGACCCTCACCATCCTTCCTCAGTCTCTAAAACCCCTCTGCTTTTCATTAGATCATCAGTATTTACCAGGTGCCTGCTAGGTACCCACTGCTGTGGATTTCAGAGGACTGTGTAACTCCATCCCTGCTCTCAAGGGGGTCTCACTCACTTTCAAGAAATAAGAGCAATAGCCCCAAAGCATTTTGAGATTGATGCGATCCACCCCCCCCCCCCCCCCCCCCACCACCACCACCACAGGCCAAGCCAGCTCGCTGGTCTGGAGAAGAATTACAGTGTGGTGCTAAGGGCAGGGACTCCAGAGTCAGGCTCTTTGGGTCCAAATCCTTGTTATCCAACCATGCTCTGGTTGGATAATTTTCTGATCTGTTCCATGATTCAGGCATCCCAACTATAAAAGGGAGATAAAAATAGAGTGATTGGGCAGATTAACCCATGTAAAGTTCTTACACTGACGCCTCAAGTGGCCAAGGAATATCAGCTGTGGTCTTAGCTTCGAGCCCTATTATGTTTTCGGGACCTTGCCAATTGTCATCAAATCTGGGTTCTCTTTTCTTTAAAACGCTCTTCTCCTTTCTTTTCTTCTCCGTTCTTTACTACCCCAATAAGGATGGAGGAAGAGCTGGGCGGAAAACCTTTGTTTTGCTATCTGGGTGTCCCAACGTGTAGTTCCCTAAACTTAGAATGTTGCCCTCTGCCAAACAAGAGGACTGGCATAGAGACACTTTGAGGAGTTTTTGTGTTTGGGTCCCCTCCTCCCAACCCATGCGCCCAGCTCTAAGGTTTAGTAACTTGCTGGTGGTCACGTATCAGTAAGTGGGAGAGCCAGGATTTGAACCCAAGCAGCCCATTTCCAGAGCTTGTCCTGTAACTCTTCGGTCACGTTTCCCTTCACAGTGATAACCTTGTCTTGGAAGTACTGGCTTCTCCCTCTACTCCCAATTGACTCCTCCATTCTTTGATAATAAGATGCCGTCCTCATTTCCAATTTTAGCACAGGTCCATGCCTCTCCCCTCCTCTGCATCTGTTCAGATCTGCCCATCCTTAAGGCCAGATAACCTCCTTGAAACAGCCCTTTTCCAGCCCAGGTCCACATGAGGCCCCATCATAGTGTCACCGGCGTCCTACTCACTCTCTTCCTCTTGGCTTCCCCACCATTGTCAGGAGGCACCAACTCTCAACAAACAAAGAAAACCCTTGTTGCTGCTCCTAGAGCAACACTGAACATAGAGCTGTGAGGAAGAGCCTATCTGCAACTACTCTGGAAAATGCCGTTCTCTCTTTAGGTGCTCCCCTCTCTGCCTCTTCCAGAGTGAGCTTTCTAAATACTGTGTGGCCGGTGACTTAAGTCAGGCCATCATCCTGCATATACTCTTCAGATATAGTGAAAACCCACCCAACTGCTTGTATGAGATTCACTAAACAAATGAAGAGATAGAAATTTAATTTTAATTTTACTGGCCTTTCCATCCTCCTTCTCTTCTTAGACTCCCACATCTAAAACAGAGCCTGGAGCAAGTCCTTGTACAAACATGCTGGAAGGAAAAAATGAAAGCAGGGAAGAAGGCCCAGGAGTAGGGAGAGAAGAGAAAAAGAAGAGGATAGGGAAGAGAAAGAAGGGAAGGAAAGGGGAGAGAGGAGAGGGGAAGGGGATGGGAGAGGAGGTAAAGGGAGAAGAAAATACTTAGGAATGGAGAGAAAAAAAGATTTAAATGAATTTGAAACAAAAGAGGGAAATAGGAAATCAGAGTAGAAGAAAAGGAAGAAAAGAAAGAAATGAAGAGTGTGAAATAAAGGACAAGAGGGAGAAAGGAAGTTGGGGAAGAGGAATGCATGGAAGGCGGGATTTTGAATGAAGGTCACACTGAAGGGGGCAGGAGGGAGAGAGCTCAGGACCTGGTCTGGCCGGGTCCTCCTGTGGGCCAGATAGATTCATCACATCACCAACCACCTGTGAGACAGACCATTCACTTTACTGAGGAAGATGAACTAAGAATGTTTAAAATGCTTGTGAATGACCATGCCATCCATTCCCCAAGAGACGTGGGAAAGTGAAGGGTGGGCACAGTGCCAGGCTTGGAGGTAGCCGATGAGAGGGGTTTAGGAGGAGATGCGCCTGCGCAAAGTAAGGCTCCTCCCAGTCAACTTTAGGAGGGAATGATCGGAGAAGACCTCTCAGAGGGATTCTTAACTGTCTCCCTGTTCTTGAAGAGAAGGTGGCTGATCCTTAATAGACTCACTGCTAACGCAGAGAGCTAGCATTAGACCATTAGCTTTTCTGCCGCGCGTCCCGAGGGTCCCGAGCCATGAACCAGAGCAGGTGAGCCTGTGGATGGTCTGCTCAGCCGATAGACGGCTGAGCACCTCCAGTGCAGCCCTCCCCACTGGGCCTTGAGTGATTGGAACATCTTAAGGTTTTCAGCAGGCTTACCTGGGACCTTATATTCGGCCTTGGGAGTCAGGCATGCAAGTGAAGAATCGTTCCTACCACCCGAAGACCAGCAGTCAGTCAACACTCCAAGCAGTGCTGCACAAAAATTCCAATAGCTCTCTACTGTCCAAGACATAACCAGAGTTTACTTGGTCCTAACCTGCACTCTGGTTTAATTTCCCACCTCTCCCTTCTGCCACTCCCTACCCCCACCCCAAGTTTTCTTTTCCTCTTTATCTGTCTTCATTCTTTAAGACAATTCTACTTCCTCACTGAAGCCTTCCCTGTCTGCTCCAGCCAGCAATACCCCTCTCTTTCATCTGCAGTCTTATAGCCCTGTTGCATATACTGATCTGTGTATCCTATTACTTTTCCTCCTATTACTTTTCCACAGGCACAATCTAATGTTATATGCTTAAGGGCAAGAACCACATCCTGTGTTCCTGGATATTCCTAAATACTAAACCAGTGTTTGTGCATGCTAGATATTCAACAAACATGTGGGAAATCATTCTCCTTTGTACCTATGGTTTTTGCCTTACAGACCTCAACTCCAAATTCTTAGCATCCCACTTCTGTATACCTAGTAGGTTTTTGAGGGAGATACTAAGAAGAAGAGATGGAAAAAATAAACATTTTGGTGATGCCCCTTGAAAATGTAGACCACATTCAAGAATCAAATGTCTTGTGCATTGGTAGATGGGAGGGGACTAGATACAATTCTCACCACCAACACTGAGACTTATTTGCTTTCTATTTTGGTTTCCTCTTTTATTAAAGGACCTTGTGGATTATTTACGAGTTCACTCACACAGTGCTGTTTATGCTACATCCATGAGCCCCCCAATAGCAGAGCAAATCATCAGATCAATGAAATTTATCATGGGACTGGATGGGACCACACAAGGTAAGAGGGTCTGCAGTGAGGGACAACTCCCACAAATCCTTTCTTAGACTTCTCTCTACCTTCCTTCTGCCTCATTCAGTCTGCCCCCTTCTCATATATACACCTTTTCTTAATGTAACCCAATTTGTTAATCAATTTGTATAAACCCAATTTGTACATGATATATAATCATACATAGTACAAAAATGTACTAGAACTGCTGCCAACACACACACACACACACACAGAGAGAGAGAGAGAGAGAGAGAGAGAAATGCCTTTTTAAAGCAAAGAAAACTTTCTAATTTCCTCTTAATGTGATCAGCAAATCTGGATAATTTTGTGTAATCAGTTGAGTTAAAATGAAGCAAACAGTTGTATTTGCCTGCACTTGCTTGGGGCCGTCACTTGTGTTTCCCTGGGCGCACAGTAGGGCCACTGCCCATTTGAGGATAGGTGGACAAAACATGAACAATAACTTTCCTTTTCCATTTCCTTTTTTTTTTTTTTTTTTTTTTTTTGCATTTGGTCACTACAGCCAAAGTGTGCTACTGTGTTCAACCCAAATGAGCTTAATCTTCTTTTGAAAAATTGTTTTAGCAAAGCCTTTTGGAACTTGCCTTCTACTTCTAGATATAGTTTACAGGACTTCTACTACATGTCACAGTGGGGATACAATGGTGAATAAGGCAGGTCTTGCCACCAGGCAATCTCCAGAGTGCATTTATGGAAGCAGCAAAATCTCCCAGCCCCAGGAGTGGTGAAGGGACCATAGAATCCATGTGCTCCACCCGACCTCCCAGCTTGTGGGAAGCCCTCCACTGTTTACTGCCATCTTCCAAGCCTACTATTTCAGTAGAAGTGTGGGGAGATCCATTTCCCAATTTTATTAAAGCAGCAGTATACTTCACTCACATGCAAATTTTACCCAAAAGTCTACTATCTAAGACAGATTATAACAGGGCTGGGCTGGTTGAAGTAGCGTGTACACCTACCTCAGTACTGACAGCCCCTGAGGCCCTTCTCCTGAAGCCTAGCGCCCCCCAGGACACCAGTTTGAAAACTGCAGGAAAATGGCTTGCAGAGTGATTTTGTTCCTTCATGTAAAATGCAGTGATTAATGGTTTTCTGAAGCCTCTTCCAACCTTGTCTTTGGAGTTTTATGGTTCTGTCTCTTGTTGAATAGTTGGTGTGAAAAGGAAATGGAAATCCAATCTAGGGAGGCCACGTGGTGCAATGGTTAGGAGCAGAAACTGAAAGTAAACTGGAATCCTATAGCTCTGTGGCCATAGGCAAGTGATTTAACTTACCTGTTCAGCTCTGGGCAAGTGACTTCCTTGTGCTTCAGTTCATCCAGCTATAAAATGAGGAAAATAATACTGACGAGCTCATGCTTTTGTGAGAATCAAGTAAATTAAGTTATACAAAATACTTAAAATTATGTCTGAAAACAATTATTTAGTAAGCATCATATAAGTGCTTGCTGCCATTATTTGCTACTATTATTGAGGTGTTTAGTTCTCGGGGGAGAAGTATTTGGACTACATCTCTGGGATGTTGTAGGAAAGATTCTTATGATGGAAGTCAGGTAAGACTGGGTGTCCTCCAAGGCCCTGGATTAGTCAGGATAAGCAAAGTTATGCCACCATAACAAACAAACCCTGAAAATCTCTATGGCTTAACAGAACTGAGTTTTATTTCTTGCTCACACCAAGTCTAACACAAATCAGATAACTCTCTGCACAGCTGTCCTCTAAAGAAGCACCAATTAAGCCTACTTCTAGCCTCCACAGTCCCCGTGTCAGGGAACAGAGAAACTTCAGCCTGGAAGTGACACCACCTTGCTTATAGTCCTTTGGCCAAAACCAGGCATATGACCAGACCCGGATTTGAGGGAGGAGCTGGTAACTTAAAGGATGTGGATATGGATAAGCAGAAATCTTTCAACCTGTTAAACCTGAAGCTGGAAATAAAGCTGCATCTGTGCCCACATGAACTGTCTGGTTGTATGAAAAAACTAGTCTGGAACCAGTGGCTGCTCACAAAGCCATTATTCATGATCATATTGAAATTTATTCATTTCTCCTTTTTTAAGATTTTATTTTATTTATTTGAGAAAGAGCATGAGCAGTGGGAGGGGCAGAGGGAGAAGAAGATGCCCCCACTGAGCAGGGAGCCCAAAGCAGGGCTTGATCCCATACCCTGGGATCATGACCCACAGAAGGCAGACACTTAGCCACAGAGGGACCCTGAACTTCATGCATTTCTTTTCTTTTCTTTTCTTTTCTTTTTTTTTTTAATATGTTGAGTTAGCTAACATACAGTACATCATTAGTTTTTGATGTAGTATTCAAGGATTCATTAAGTTGCATATGACACCCAGTGCTCATCACAACAGGAGCCCTCCTTAATATTCATCACCTGGCTACCTCATCGCCCCCCCTCCCTTCTGTAACCCTCAGTTTGTTTCCCAGAGTCCAGCTTATGGTTTGTCTCCCTCTCTGATTTCTTCCCCTTCAGTTTTCTCTCCCTTCCCCTATGGTCCTCTGTGCTATTCCTTATGTTCCACATACGAGTGAAACCATATGATAATTTTCTTTCTCTGCTTGGTTTATTTCAATTAGCATAATCCTCTCCATTTCCATCCATGTTGATGCAAATGGTGGGTATTCATTCTTTTTGATGGCCGAGTAATATTCCATTGTATATATGGACCACATCCTCTTTATTCATTCATCTGTTGAAGGGCATCTTGGGTCCTTCCACAGTTTGGCCATTGTGGACATTGCTGCTATGAGCATTAGGGTGTGTGTGCCCCTTCTTTTCACTACATCTGTATCTTTGGGGTAAATATCTAGTAGTGCAATTGCTAGGTTGTATGGTAGCTCTATTTTTAACTTCTTGAGGAACCTCCATACTGTTTTTCAGAGTGGCTGTACCAGCTTGCATTCCCACCAACAGTGTAAGAAGGTTCCCCTTTCTCCACATCCTTGCCAACATTTCTTGTTTCCTGTCTTGTTAATTTTTGCCATTCTAACTGGTATAAGTTTGTATCTCATTGTACTCCATGCTTTTCTTAATGGAAAACAATTATTTAAGATTTAAGTTAAAACGCAAGTTAAATGAATTGTCCTACAATAACCAGAATTTTCCTTTGGTCTTATCTTAAAGATAAATAACTAGGAAAGTTGCCTGAAAATTAGCCTATGTCTCAGTAAGGATCACTGGTTTCTTTTTTTTTTTTTTTTTAAGATTTTATTTATTTATTTGACAGACAGAGATCACAAATAGGCAGAGAGGCAGGCAGAGAGAGAGGGGGAAGCAGGGTCGCTGCTGGGCAGAGAGCCCAATGCAGGGCTTGATCCCAGACCCTGAGATCATGACCTGAGCCAAAGGCAGAGGCTTTAACCCACTGAGCCACCCAGGTGCCCCAAGGATCACTGGTTTCTTAACCCCTTATTGTATATGCTGTCAGAAGCAGTTGATTTATGTGTAGTCAACCTGACAATCATTCCCTTCCCTCCTCTGGATTGGTTTCCCACTTCATCATAGACAGAACTCACATCATTTATCTGATCACAGCTGAAAATCTGCAGAAAAATCACATTGGAAGATACAATCATTTATTCTTTGATAGTCATCTATCATCCATTTTTCTTCCTCTGAGGTGGGAGATACCTCCTTTGGTTCTCTCTTTTCACCTAATAATTAAAGAATTACTTGCTTATTTTTTTTTTACCTCCCACTTAAAGTTTCTCACTTTCCTCCTCTTGCCATCTTAATAGGGAAAAGAGAGAAAGAAAGAACAGAGAAGGCAATGTATGAAGCCTGTTTTCTTAGAGTCAAGATGGGAGAACCCGGGGGAAAGATAGGACAATTTCTTTTTGAAGGGGTCAACAAAGGAAAGTAGTAGAAGAGAAAATTGACTGAATCATCTGCCAAGTTTCAGATGGTTCTATCTGACACATCTTTTGAAGAATTTAAAGGCACCAGTGAGTGTTCATGCTGGTCTCATTGACGACAATGCCTGCTTTAAATAAAATTAATAGGACAGGTTGAGAACATTGCATTAACTCACCCGTCTCTGCCGAGATACACGGATTCTCGGGGTAAAGTTGTCTGGAGCTCAAAGGGACACACTGTGTCATTCCGGAGCTGCCTTACAGGATCTGAGAAAGAGAGCACGGCTCCAAGCCTTCATGTTTAGCCCACTCCACTGCAACTGTGATTGGAGCCTTTCAAGGCTTTGTTTCGGGTTGAGTTTGGGGAGCAGTTGGCCAGATCTGTCCCTTGATGAATATCTTCACTTTAATCTGCAATGCAAAGCCATAGGCTTCAAAGAAAGGCAAGCCACAGGAATAAGGTCAGGGTTCCTTTGAAGCCAAGGTTCAAAGATGAAATAGCAGTCTCTGTGAAATGACAACGTTTATGCACAAACAGCCACCTTCCCTCTGTAGCCGGGCTGCTTGTGGAGTTCGGGCACACGCACTGAGAAGCTGCGGGCCGTGCAGGCATTCATTCCACGTGCACCAGGGCCCTTCTAATCTCCTGACCTGTCCCATCATGCAGTGCAATGAGCCCAGAGTGGAGATTTGGTTTCTCCATCCTCATGGTTGTTGAGTGGTCCCTAAGCGAAATCAGGGCTGTAAGCCCTTTAAGGGCAAGGAATGTGTCTTGAATTAATCTGCTGTGCCTCTGAGTGTCAAACCCAGTGCTCGGCTTAATAAATACATCACAATTCAACTTCCATCTTGCTGGCCTACTCGGTTTTAGGTCAGAGTTTCTGCTAAACCAGGTCAAGGGAATGCTTATCTCAGAGGAGTGGAAGCCAGGAATGTGTTCCACACCCGTGAGGCCGCTGAAGGGATCACTTAGTACTGGGGACCCGCTGTAACTGACATCACATTTGAAGAGGTGCAGGAAGATCGCAGCTCTGTCATTTGCTTCACCTCCACTTGGCACAAACAGTTGACAGGGCAGGGCCCCAAATCATAGCAACCCCCCTAAGGAAAGCACCAGCA